AGTACAATCAATCATTCAGAAATAATTATAATTGAACGTATCTTTACAACATTGTTACTCACAAAGTACTGAGCTACAGACAGGCTAGTTAGCGTCCTCGGATCCCAACCCTACACAGTTGCAGAACGAACACACACACTAAGTTACACATTGGGATTAATAACTTAGCCCCTTAACTTGACTTGGTGTGGTTCTATAACATTATCCTCATTAAGATATCTTAAACTTGGCCTAGGAATGCCTAGGATGGAATGAGGATGCAAAAATGTACTTTAAAACACTTTTCAAAATTTGTTGAAAACAGGAGTCTCACTTGAGCGTGGCTTTATTCGCTCGAGCGAGCTTACCAAAACAGAGGGGTCGCTTGAGCGTAGACTTCCTTGCTCGAGCGGTCTGTAAAAATGCAAAAAGTACTGGTTGTTGAAATTCTCCGCTCGATGCTCGCTTGAGCGTGAGACACAGTTCTTCGCTCGAGCGCACGTCTCGTTTCGCGAGCGTGCTTCTGCGTCTGCAGAAACCTGAGAGCTTGCAATCTACGCTCGAGCCAGCATTCCGTCGCTCGAGCGGAAATTCAGAAAACAAAGGTGCTCGCTCGAGCGTGGAATCCTTCACTCGAGCGAAGAAGCCAAAATCTGGGTTTTCCAGATTTGCCTCCAAGCTCAAACCAAGAATTAAACTTATCAAAACTCAACCTTTTGGGTCAATTTTCTGAAAAACACTTGGAAGCTCATACCACAACATGTTTTGAAGATCATTTGGTAAAATCAAGCCCAAAGATAAGCCAATTGAACACCAATTTCAAAGAAACTTGAAGAACAATGCAAGAATATAACATGCATGAGTTCTTATGAATTCCAATGCTCCAAAAACATGATCAAATGCAAGATTGAACTCTAAAACATGGTGAATTCATGGACTACAATCAAAATATGGACATGCATGTGAAAATTCTCATGTAAATGATCTTAAAACTCAATGATATGGACATGCATGCACACATTGCTACTCAATTCAACTCTTTAGGCTATAACTTGACTCTAATCTCCAATATTTCCATGAACCATGCAAGAAACAACTTAAATTCATGTTCAAGAGGGTGGATTTCCTACCTCAGGTCTTGAATTCCAAGTATGCTAGCTCAATTTTGCAAATCTTCTTCAATTCCTCTAATTCTCCAAGTTATTCTCTAGATGAAACAATTTTCTTCCAACTCTCTCACGTTTTTGGGTTAAGAAGATAAAGTGAAGAATGATGCTAAACAAATGTAAAGGGTGAGAGAAGTAGTGGCTTTGAATTAAACCACGCAATGGCAATAATGTAATTACTTAGGTTCAATTAGTTTAACATTATTTAATCTAATTTAATCATTCCAAATTGAATTTTAGTTAAATCTACCATAAAATCACATAAATCCTAATTAGCATATAATACTAATCAATTTCTGATTCGGTCGCCGATAGGGCCTTCAATTTGCAATTCGGAGTCAAAACATGAACATATCATTAAATGACAAACAGATAGAAATGCAATTAAAGCAACACACTCGCACACACAGATTAAGATTTCATTCTAATCAATTACTTATCATGCTCAAACACAGTTTAACACTAATCAGAGGTGAGGGTTGTTACAGAAGTGCAGTTCGATAATTATCCTTGAGAAGTATAAATAGCAGAGAAGGCCCTAGAAAAAGCCCAGACTTAGATTCAAAAATCTAGTTTTATCTACTTTATTTTCTTTCCAGTTTTACATTTCCTGCTCTTTGTATTTTTGTACTTTAAAATTCCTGCACTGTATTTCGTTCATAGGAGTAGTTTCAAGTAGATTGTTGCTGTAAACCTCTATGATGCTGAATTGGATCATTGTAAGTCTTTCATTTTACTTAATGAAATACTGCAATTGTTCTTCATTTAATCATTGTTAGTTTATTCCTCCTAAGCAAAGCCACCAGTAAAAGTCCTCTTCATTGAGTATGAAAGAACTAAAACACAATCGTCTGAAAATTGATTGACAATTAAATTTCTATAAGGACTGATTGATCCTTGCTGGCATGCTCAAAATTACCGTAATAACTTTCGAAAGTCAAAAAGCTAACAAATTATGACATTGATATTCTTCAAAAAATGTACTATCAAAAAGTTATTTTGAAAAATCAAAAATTTTAAAACGTAATAATTATATTATTACAAAAAATTAAATTGCTCAAAAAAATTATTATTTTAAGACAGAAAGGATATTTTTCCCCTAAGATGCTTCCCTTGACATTTCCTTATATTTTTCCGAGAAAAAGAGGGTCGAAGAAATAATTGTTCTTTTAGCGGCGGCTTCCAAACCTAGCGCCGAAATTAGATGGATCATTGCATGTTTTGCATTGGACGGCGGCCTTCCACAATAATTTCTCCTTACACAATGACCAAAAGCAAAAGGACAAATACTTGATACGACGTACTATGCGATTTTTGCTCTCCGGTGACGACAACAGCTTGTTGGGTTGGGTCGTTGTGAGACATTCACCCTATTTGGTTTATTTTTAATTTATTTTAATTTAATTTAAATTATTTTAATATGTTTAGTTTAATTTAATAATATAATTTATAATTTTTTAAAATTAAAAATCAATTTATTTTTTGAATAGAGAGAAGAAATTTAATTTATAAATTAAAAATCAACTTACATTTACAATTATAAACTTTAAACGGTTAAGATATAAATTATAATTATTTTTTCACAGCTCTGACCATTATTATATCACATGAATCACGGTAGCTTTTGTATTATTGTGCAACCATAGGGTTTATTGTTTTTCGAGATAATTCATAGGAGTAGTTTCAAGTAGATTGTTGCTGTAAATCTCTACGATGCTGAATTGGATCATTGTAAGTCTTTCATTTTACTTAATGAAATACTGCAATTGTTCTTCATTTAATCATTGTCAGTTTATTCCTCCTAAGCAAAGCCACCAGTAAAAGTCCTCTTCATTGAGTATGAAAGAACTAAAACACAATCGTCTGAAAATTGATTGACAATTAAATTTCTATAAGGACTGATTGATCCTTGCTGGCATGCTCAAAATTACCGTAATAACTTTCGAAAATAAAAAAGTTAACAAATTATGACATTGATATTCTTCTAAAAATGTACTATCAAAAAGTTATTTTGAAAAATCAAAAATTTTAAAATGTAATAATTATATTATTAAAAAAAATTAAATTGCTCAAAAAAATTATTATTTTAAGACAGAAAGGATATTTTCCCCCTAAGATGCTTCCCTTGACATTTCCTTATATTTTTCCGAGAAAAAGAGGGTCGAAGAAATAATTGTTCTTTTAGCGGCGGCTTCCAAACCTAGCGCCGAAATTAGATGGATCATTGCATGTTTTGCATTGGACGGCGGCCTTCCACAATAATTTCTCCTTACACAATGACCAAAAGCAAAAGGACAAATACTTGATACGACGTACTATGCGATTTTTGCTCTCCGGTGACGACAACCGCTTGTAGGGTTGGGTGGTTTTGAGACATTTAACCTGATTGGTAGGATTTATTTTTAATTTAATTTAAATTATTTTGATATATTTAATTCAGTTTAATAAAATAATTTATAATTTTTTGTAAATTAAAATTAATTTATTCTTTGAATGGAGAGGAGAAACTTAATTTATAAATTAAAAATCAATTTATATTTATAATTATAAACTATAAACTGTTAACTTATAAATTACAATTACTTTTTCACAACTATACTAAACGACACCTCTGTCCCACGAACACCAAATAAGTTTTCTTCACGTTGGTGGAAAAATGAGACACCACCAAACCCTTTTGAAAATGACCCATATAACCCACCCAACCTTCTATTTGTTAGTTGACATCTGATTAGATGGGTGAGTTGTTCCTTTACCCAAATTTTATTAAAAAATATCAATTTATTAGATGGTTGAGTCGTTCCTTTACCCAAATTTTATTAAAAAAATATCATGATTTATTTCAAATTTAAATAATATTAATTTAATCTGCATTATACAATCATATATCCAGCAAAATTTAAGTTGGATTTTCTGGGATAACATTAATATATTGCATATGGTATAATTTCATGTTTAAAAAATTGTTGGGTAAGGTGTTTGTTTAATGAGTTTTAAAATGTATTTAAATTTGATTTATTTTGTTTACAAGTTAATAATGAAAGGGTTTTAATTGAATTGCGTTCAAATAGCTTGTTTTTTGTAATATAATTGAGTTTAAATAGCTTGTTTTTGGTCCATTAGCGGCTCCGGGCATTTTTTTGGAGTGAAGATATGGGAAATATGAATGATTATGGAAACTACCAAAATATAATGATAATCAACATTAAATATCAACATTAATGAGGAAGAGGGAGATAGCCAGTGTCAGAGAAAATTTTATTTCTTTTATTTTTTAGCTAATTTGGGACATAAATTTTTAATGAGGTAAGATGGCCCAATCTAACTCATTCCCCGAAAGAATTGGAGACAGAAGAGAAAGGATAAGGAGAGAAGCTGGAGAAAATCTGAACTCTTGCTTAATATTAGATATTATATTCTGTTGAAAAGCAAATGATGTGATGTGACACTGGTATAAATATCCTGTCTGTATAGTGTTTGTATAGGTTGACGAATTGTCTAAAACTAATCTCTCTCTCTAGAAAATAATAGCATCCATGTCTCTCTCTCAAAAAAAAATTAGAGCGCATGTGTGCATTCACATACACATACAGGTTGTCAATGGCGGTGTTTGGGAAGCAATTTTTTGGATTTTTTTTTTTTTAGGTTTTTTACTAAAAGACATAAAATTAAAAAAATAAATTCAAACAAAATATCACATCAAATCTTATAGATATTTCATTTTTTTTCTCACAAATATCGCATCCAATCAAAAAAAACTCAATTATCATCACAAACACAATTTTTTTTTTAAGTAATATTCTACAACTAAAAAAATCTATAAAAAAATTCACTTTCCAAATACCTACAATGGATCTGGGCTCTCTCGCTCTCTCTCTCTCTATATATAGCATCTTTGGTTGCTTTGTGGAGAAAGAGAGAGCTCAGATTGAGAAAATACAAAATGCAGCCAAGGGGGAGTGGTAGCTCATCAAAACTTGATCGAAATGAAATTGAGAAAAGCCGAAGATTGCAACTCAAAGATCTCTATTCCAAGCTTGCTTCTCTCATCCCTAACCAACCCTCAGAGGTACTCTCTCTCTCTGTCTCTCTCTCTCTCTGTCTCTCTCTCTCCATGGAGAAAATATATACTTCAATTTGATAATACATTTCATGCATGGAGAAAAAATATATATTTTTTGACTTACTTTTACAAAAAGTTATCTACGTAGCGTTGCTTTTTTCCATTGCAAAAAATTCTCCATTGTTGCCTCTCGGTGCAGGTAGTCTGCATCTTCATTTCACAGTCTCTTTTTGAGAAAAAAAAAAAAAATTTAATAGAAGGGTGATACCATGTTATTAGTATCACTATTTAATAAGTTTTTATTTTTCACCTTTCATATATATATGACAAGGTAATTGTACCTAAAAAATGAGGTTGACTCTCTACATTACATCACGTGACTTTATTATTGATTGATAATACCTCATCATTATTGTTACACTAAATTTTTACTTTCTTTAAAGACAATGCTTAAATTGTTATGCCTTTCATGCGGGTCAAAGCTTACCCAGTAAGAAATTTAGCTAGCTAAGCTATCTTATCACGTTAAAGTTACAACCACAGTTTACCGGCTTTTATGGCCCTGGTCTGTAAATGGACTTTTATGAACTTCTAAAATATTTTTTATGAGTTGGGTTTTTTTTTCACACTATTACGGATATGAAAATAATGAAAACAATCGGAATCAATTATTATTATAACTAATATTTACGTGTAACATAATATATTTTTGACATATCATCAAACAGTCCATGATTTTTTTTTTTTTGGATAGGAAGGACTGCCATTACGTGATATGTTGAAGCAAGCCACCAAGTATGTGGTGGAGCTTAAACAGAATGTGGAGGAGCTGAAGCGGAGAAAGGCAGCCCTCAAAGGCGATGAGGGTGGTTCTAAGGAGGAGAGGTCACCGGTCTTGATGGTGCGAAACATGGGTTCAACTTTGGAGGTGAATTTGAGTACTGGGTTGGACAAGGAATTCAAGTTACATGAAGTTTTGAGTGTTCTTAAGGAAGAAGGAGTTGAGGTTGTAAGTGCTAGTTACACTACTGTGGGAAACCAAATCTTCTACACTATTCATGCTCAGGTATATATATATATATATAAAGTTATATAGTCCTAGAAAAATATCCGAAAAATACATTTTACAGTTAAGATTAATTATCCCGACTATATAAAAAATAGATCTCAACCATATATCACTATTCTAAGTCAATTTCTGATCCATATTTTTGGATGCATAGACTCTCACTTTGAAGTAAGAAAGTCTACTTATTGGCTTAGATTTGGGTCAACTGCATGGTTCATTTTTTTTTTTTAAATAAATAAATTATATTCAATATATGGGAAGAAACTTCTCTCCTATATATTATTGAACTACAGAGGTTTAATGCGGCTCATTGTAAGCTCAATTTTCATCTTATTAAGTTTGTTGTGCACATTATTTATACTAAAAAAGAAAGTTGATTTAATCATTTGATCAGATCATATTTGTCTACAAAATATAAACAAATTGTATAATTTTAAAGATAGTCCGTTTATTTTATTTTATTTTAATTTTTCCAGACAAATATAATCAAATCAAATGACTACCAATAATGTTTGATCAATTTACTTTTTTAAATGAATAATGTGTTTAACGAGCTCCACAAAATAAACAATTCGGATGGTAAGATGGGTTGGCTAGGAGCTGCTCCCTTGTATGTATATGTATATACATTACCTGACACATTTTAATTACACTTTAAGAGTAATCATTCGTTTTCTAATTACACTTTAAGAGTAATCATTCGTTTTCTAAATTAATAAATAATTAAATAGAAAAATAAAATGGGTGGATTTGTGATTATGGTTGGTTTTTTAGTGGTTTTTTTAACTTTTTATGTTTTTTTATAAGTTAAAAAAGTTGATGGGTTTAGGAAGCTGTTAAAAAATAATTCTTAATATGATATTTAACTTTTTCAGCTAGTGACAAATAAATTATTAAACTTTTAATTTTTTTTTTCTTAACACTCCCAAACAGTCACTTTAGTCTTTCTTTTACCATTTTTTAAATATAAATAATACATATTTTAATATATAAATTTAACCATCCCGTTAAAAATATTTTGGAAAAATTACATTCTAGTGTGTATTTTCAAAAATATATTTTCAAATCAATAATATACTGTACAAACATTAAAATGCGAAGTCATAATTTTTTCAATAATGTTAGAGATTCACATTTTGTACCCACAAATGTATCAACAATGATGCGATAAAAGTGGTGAGTCTCATATAATTGAGTATATAATCAATCAAAAACTGACACTTATCAAATTATGTCATTTATAGTTGAATTATGAGCGATTTTTGACAGTCAAAATATTTTCCTAATTTTTTATTTATCAATTTGTAATTAATCTTTTAAAACACCACTAACACGTCAATGCATACTCCAGCCTCCACATGTTTTTGTGGTGGAGATTATTTGCTGGTCTTGGATAAGTTGACGTGATGTTACGATTAAATTTTATGGATTAAGGCTTATTTTAGCAATCAGTTAAAAATTAATTTTTTAATTTTTAAATTTTTTTTTGGATCATCTTATCTCTTTATTTTTCTATATATATATATTTTTAAAAAGTTAAAAAATAAAAAAATTGACTTTTAACCTATGTCTCAAAATAAGCCTAATTCAATAAAAATTAATATTTTTGTGTAATTTTTGAAAAATAATATAATAAATATCATAGGTTGAATGGTGTAAACTAATATTCTAAAGGGATTTTTATTGATAAATCCCATCTAAAAGTGTTGTAATCCAAGAAGTCCATGAAGAAATTTTTTAACCTACTTAGTCCCACGTATGTATACTTTTATTCCATAAATTCATTTTTCTTGATTTACACTATTTTTTTAAACTCTTATGCTCTTATATATATTTAATGTTGATATTTAGGCCTCGTTTGACAAGTGACTTTTTTAGTCAAAAAGTCACTAAAAAAATAAAAAAACCAACAATCTATACCAAAAAGTCAAAAATTCTATTTTCTCTTTACTTTTTGTTCATGTTTTCGTAAAAAGTCAAAAAATATCCCAAACATACTAGTTTTTTTTACATCACATTTTAGCCAATAAGTCAAAAAGTTACTAAAAAAATTTGTTCTCAAACGAGGCCTTAATATTGATATTTAATATCTCTAAACCCTAAACCAAAAAAGCTCCATTTTCATCAAACTTTAATGTTGATATTTAATGTCCCTAAATCCTAAACCAAAAAAGATCCATCTTCATCAAACTTATTAAAAAATTTGATAATCTTATAAAATGGACATCTTTACGGAAAGTTCTTTAATGGCTTCAACGCCTTGAGAATTCTCTCTTACCTGATGTAAACGTTCATAACACCTTTCCAGAAAATTCTCTCTCATCTAATATAATGATGTGAACGTTCACAACATGTGAACATTCTTACTTTTAAGCAGTGATAATATGTTATTTTCCCTCTTTTTGTGATTGTGATTGCAATTGGTAATGACAATCAACATTAAACATCAATATCATGTAATTGACAACACATCATGTAATTGCCCCCTTTTATTATGAATATTCACGTCATGTTTGTATTCAAATAAAAGTTGAGGCTTGTGGTTGTGCAATTTGATGTAATGCTGATATGAACCTTAACAGCACCTTTATCATAACGTCATTTGATGTGAACATTCACATGTCATGTTTATATTCAAATGAAAGTTCAGGCTTGTGGTTGTGTAATTTGATACAATACTGATGTAAACCTTAACATCACCTTTATCACAACGTCATGTGTTGTGAATATTCACATTCATGTCATTTAATGTGAACATTTACGTTCATGTCATCTAATGTGAACATTCACATTATCACAAACCGTCATGTTTATATTCAAATGAAAGTTGAGGCTTATAATTGTGTAATTTGATACAATACTGATATGAATCTTAACATCACCTTTATCATAACGTCATCTGATGTGAACATTCACGTCCACGCCATCTAATGTGAATATTCCGTTCATCACGTACAGTCAACATTTGGATGCGAACATTCAAATGTACAGTCATCTAATGTGATGACGTGAACATTCACGTCATCACGTGCAGTCATCTAATGTGAAAATTCACGTCATCATGTACAGTCGCTTCGGTTGGCATCTCACCAACTCCTAATGGCGTGCTAGCAAGGGATTGGGCGGGTATATTGGTGCCAACCTAGTTGGGATTGGTATGTCTGGTTATGATACTTTTTGCACCCATCATTTTTCCTTTCTTGATGTAATGTGATATTTTTTCATCAATAAAGGTTTCTTTGCTGATAAAAAAAAATAAATATATATTTGGATGCATGAGAACTACCAAAACATAATGACAATAAATAAGGAACCATATTTAATTTTTTGTGTGTAATCTATATCGACATTAAATAACGGTGTGTAGTTAATGCATTTTTTTGGAGTGAAGATATGGGAAATATGAATGATCATGGAAACTACCAAAATATAATGATAATCAACATTAAATATCAACATTAATGAGGGGCAGAAGAAATTGAGGGTGTTATGATCTTCTTATCTCAAATAAGACTTAATAGAATAATATAAAAAAAATATAAATTGAATAAAATAAAATTCTTAAAAAAAGAATTTATCCAAAAAGCTCTCTATTCTAAAACCACTCAATAACTTCTTTTTGTAGAACCTTCCATGCTACTTTGGATTTAGGCCGGTGTAGGCAGATTCGGAGGGACTTGGGGTCACTGCTGTGCTTCATTTTGTAGTGCATTATGGATTTATTTTTATAATCTGAACCGTTCATGTTGTAAGGTTTGTTCAGTACTTCATGCTTACCAAAAATCATATTAATCGGATATCAATAACTATATGATTGATAACCAAAAAAATAAACAAGAAGTTTTTTTTTGAAAAATAGTATAAAAATATGCAATTCGATCATATAGTTATTGATATCCGATTAATATGATTTTTGACAGGCATGAAGTAGTCAACAAATCTTACAAAATTAACGGTTCAGATCATAAAAATAAGCACATAATGCATCTCAAAATGAGGCACAACTGACCCCAATTCCGATTCGGAGTTGACATAATTCGAATATAATTTGCTTAAAAACAAAAATTGAATTCAAATTGAATTCGATTTTGAAAAATTCAATAAAATGTCATTCAAATTTTAATCCGATTCAATTGATATGCAATCAAAAGTTTCAATTTTTATTTTTCATTTTTTAATTATTCAAATTTAAATGTAAGTGATAAAAAGAAGAGAGAATGATGTGATGGCATAGAAGGTGAGTTTGGATGTAAAGAGAGAAAATGAGAAAGAATAAAACAATATATAAGAAACTAGGTGAGAAAATAATTTGTTTTATTGCATAATGACAGCGAGTGATAGAAAATTCATGCATTATACAAATTTATTGTTTTAAGAGTGTGATTAGAGTTAAAGTTTGTTAAAAAAAGATTTAAAAATAGTCTGATCAGATTTATTTAATTCTAATAGTTAATAATCAAACCAATCAGATTCAAATTTGATTAGATTATCATATCGAATTTTCTTTAATGGATTTAGGTTGAGTCACGTTGAGTCTAATTTGGTCAAACCAATCCGGTCATAGACGTTTTATTTATTTATTTATTTATATATTTTTTTTATGACCATTCACATTCCTACTTGAATGTATAAAAGAATAATGTTACAATGGTAAATTTTATTTTATTTTTTTATATTAAATTTGTTCATTAGTTCTTGTGATACTTAATGCATTATTTATGTATTGGTATCATGCATAGAAAAATAAAATTCAATATACTTAGAGACATCCCTTTAGTTCGTCTTAGAGAATGGAATTAGGAATTAGATTTTCGTCTTATTGTAGGTCGGTCATCTGTTCAATCTGGAATTCCATCTCTTGTTTGGTTTCTGGTACCGGGTTAAGTTCCTTTGTTCAAATCAATATCTATGTCAGGCTTCCCTTCCCGGTTGTCCTGTCCTCTTCAATCCGTTCTTCTTCTGTCTGAGGCAAAGGCGAATCCCTCATACTGTATACGGTCGAGCTGTCTTGTAATGGTCTCTAGGGTCTTCGGTCGAATTGGTCTTCTTTCCTATAGTAGTTCATCTGATGAGTTCATCGCGATCTATGGCAATTTGAGTTTAAGCATCGGGCTTCTTAAAGCTATCTTCTGTAGGGATTGACTATACCTTGAATAACTATCGAGAAATATACACCAAATTAAGCGTTAAGGGTAAACTACCAATAAATTCTAATAATTGGATTTAATTTCCAACAAGTTTTATTGAAAATAAATCCTAATAAAATCGTCATCGAAAATAATTTTTTGTGACGATTTTTTGTATATGTACCAAAAATTGATAATTAGTGGCTTTTTTTGTCACGATTTTTGTAAATTGTCGCTAAAACTTATAATTAGTAATGTTTTCTGTGACGAATTTTTTAAACTGTCGTTGAAAGTTAAAAATTAGTGACTTTTTTTTAAACTATCGCTAAAATTAGTGACTTTTTTTTAAATTATTGCTAAAATTATAATTAGTGACATTTTTCATGACAAATTTTAAATTGTCGTTGAAAATTAATAATTAGTGACGTTTTTTAATAGTGCTTGATAAAAAAACGCCATTAATTATAATAGGATCTATTGGATAATAAGTCCACCTATTAAGACGTACACGTAAATCCCCCTTACGCTAACTTATATATCTAAAGATTTGTAAGATGAATCCTACCATAAGGTTTTTAAGACTACATTTGTCACACCCTGAACTAAATGCCATAAATCGGTTCCCAACAACATATACACAATGACATAAACAAAGTAGTATTCTTTTATTAATCAGAGTT